TTTTTCAATACTTTAATCGAAAAAAATATCTAAAATATAATTTTTACTGATAATTTGTATATTCAGGTTACTAAATCAAATTTTAGACCAAAATACTAAACATATTTTCTGATTATACACAAAAATTTGAACAACAACATTTTTATAAACCATTAAATTCAATAATAATAAAAAATTTAAGAATACCTAATGATTAATTTTTTTTTTTTTTTTATTACAATATTTTTCTAATGCAAAACAAAAAAATTGAAAATGTAATTTAATTACATAGAGAATAATTCTAAATTCTATTAAGTTAAAATTTTATTTTACGAGCTTAGAACATGGGAAACTCTGCTATAACATCAACGAAATTTATTATTGACGTCAACTTGGACAAAAGAGCAGTTTAATCGTTCTTAACTCATTTTTGATCTTTTGCGCGTTTTTTAGGTGATAGCTACACAAACATCCGGTCTTTAATTATTACAATAAAACATATACCTAGCTATTAATAGAACAATATTAATTTCTCTATCATGCATCATAATCGAATATTATTATAAATAGTCTAGAACAACGTTATTCATTTATTTTTTCATTTAAAAGTTCCAAAAATAATCTATACATATCTACAATAAGTCAACCCATATTTAATAATAACTCACCAATTTGAATGGAAAAAATTATACTTAAAAATTATAGTTGGGTATTAACAAGCTAAAAAAAATAATTGTACTTAGTCTTCAAATTAGTTAAATAAAGATAACTAAAATTCAAAATACTGAATGTTATCTCAGAATCCTACTGAACAAAAAGATAAATAAAAAAAGGACATTTTTATTATCATAAAAGCAGTACTTATATATTTTCAGACCCAAAGCAAAAGGAGATATAATTATTACTTACATTTCATCGTATGGCAGCAATCGAGATTGTAAAATCATCGGTATGGCGCAGATGAAAAATTTCCTGAAAATCAAAACAAATTCCATTTAAAAATAATTATTAAATTAAAATTGTTAAACAAAAAAATATTTGTGTTTAGGTTTTTAAAAGTTAATAGTTTACTTTGATATATTCACTTATCACAAAGGCAAAAAAAGTATACAAATGGGTACCACTCTATAATATATATAAGGTATCAAGTGGGTGTGTAAAACTTGAATTCAATGATATATCATTGAATACAAAAAACGATTTTAAGCGGAGACTATCTATCAGTCAATATTATTAAGAATATTTTCATATGTTTTTTTTTAATATAACTATTAGAGTAATTAATTTTTATTTTAATATTATAATAGGTTAATAAATTTTTTCCGATAATGTTGCATTTATTATATTATTATAGTGTTAAATTTAATTATTATAATAATATAACTGTATATCATGTTATATCAACTTAAACAACTCAAAATTTAGTAACATTTAATTGTAAATACACTATAACAGTAGAATAGGTCCTTAGTATAAATAAATAATATCATAAAATAAATCAAGCATATCACTGCATATAGTAAAATTCTTAATAATATAATTAACGTATACGTTTTAATTCCGCGTGATAAAGTTTTGGATTTATGACAAAATAATAATTAATACGGTTATTCATCGTTATAACATAATGTAATTTTGATCAAATTTAAAATGAGTATAACTAAGATTAGTATTTTAAAAACACGATTAGTACTGATATTTATACTGATATGTTTAAAAGATAATTATAATAAAACAAGTTCTCAAATTTTCCCGTAGATTAAAAGCAATCGTAGACTGTGCTAAAGAAAAAGCACACTAAATAATAGCAATGTTTGGATACTTGAACGTCTTAAATCATAAAACTTAACGAATACCAAAATATCTTAATAATTAAATATTATAGTCTACTATAAAAAAAGGCTTTTTAAAAATAGCTTACAAGTTTTTCACTAAATCTATATCATTGATATAATATACAATAATGATCCATCACGGACCGAATGCATAGATACCTGCATTGTATTTGGTAAAGACTAGAGACTAGAGAGAAATAATACCTTATTTAATATTAGATACATTCTTCAAACATAAATGTATAAGTCCAAGCCCGGATCAAGAGCTTCAGGGGCCCAGGGGCCCAGGGGCCAATACATGGTTGTGGTCCCCCGTCAATAAAAACAATTCTTTAAAATTATAAAATCATACAATAAAACAAATTTAAACAATTTTATTTAATAGTATGATAACGATTGATGAGGATAAAAATATTAAAAAAATATTATATTTTTATTAAAATATATATTTACACATAAAATTAAGTTTTGTTTATGTAAACAGGTTTAGTCGGTAGGTATCTGAATTATGAGTATCATGACTGAGACAGTCACATAAACAAATTTTCCCAATTCTATTTTTAAATACAGTAATATCAAAATATATGCCTATTCCCAACAAACACAAACCTAGCTATGACGCTATGTGTCCACACTTACCATACTATTGGTGGTAAACACGATCGATGGGCCCCATCGACTGTTAGCTTAAACAAGAAAAAAATAAAAATATTTTTGTAGGTACTAATGTAGGTACTATAAAAAATACAAATTATCACTTAATGTAATTTTAAACCGAGAAGACTATGGGCACCTAACATACGTGGGCCCCGGGGACTTGGCCCTACCTGCCCCCACCTTAATCCGGGCTTATGTATAACATTTCTTCCCAGTTGTCATTTACAATTTGCAGTACTACGCTGCCAATATATACTCATAATATACCTAAATATTAAATTGCATGCTACCTTAATCACTTGATCGGGTTAGCAATTAAATGACAGCGGTATTTTTTATTGTTAATATACTATACTTTATGTTATATATTATTAGCCTCCACGTATATTCATTGTTGTTTATTCATTAATATTTTTAATTATATTTCTGCGAGAACTCCGTTAATGTGAAAAACATTGTATGATACAATTTACAGGGAGGTCGTGTACATCGTGTAATCAATTGTTGTTGATCAGATACTTACACGAGTCGAACTCGTTCGATTAGTTGCAAAAAAATAATAAAAAGTTATGGATGAATAAAAGTATATGCGAGTACACGACGACGACAATGTGACGGGTTTCGACACACGATAAACAACGGTACTGGAGTAAAAACAATTCGAGATATTTCTAGTCGCGTCTCAAAGTGTATTATAAGAAGGTGGGAGAAAAGTCAACTGGACGATTTAGACGTGTAATAAATTAGGACTAAATGGAATTTAAAACATCGTGTAATATACTCCGTTTTGCGAGTAAAAAATATAAATTATTTCACGATGAAAAATTGTGTTCGTTGAATTTATTATGCAATAACCAGTATCCAGACATTAAATATTGGACATTCTGCTAATACAATGCACAACATACATAGGTTAAGGTAGTACAAACGTAACAATACAAATTTAGAAAATATATACGTTAACGCTGACCAGTTAGAAAACCGAATTTATTTGCTTTACGATCTCGTTCCTTTTGTACATCATATTATACAGTTAGTAAGCTTGTAGTATTACTGTATATAACACTATATAACGTAATCTCGACGGGTGGCGTAGACCAATACAAAACTATTATTCGATCTAACATTTTTTCTAAAGTAGGTACCTACGATTAAAAACGTCATCGGTGAAACGCTGATATTAAAACTACTGATAATAAAAATACATAGATATTAGATACACGAAAACTTACGAAATACACGTCGATAATAATAATCAGATGATTAGTTTTCATTACGGCGTGTACCTTTATGAATCGCGCACTTTCCATCATACACACAGACTAAAAGTATTGTTATTTGTTATCGATGTCCACGCTGAGAATCAAAAAACTTCCTCTCTTCTGGAGTGCTATGCACCACTAGACGGATAAATAAATAGACGACTCTTTCACTACTGTGTCGATAGACAAAATATGTCTCCATTTTCCTATCGTAGGTAGTAGAAAGAGTTTATCTCGCACCAAAAAAGAAGCGTGCAACGGGTAGCCAAATAATATATAGTGACTAATCGTAGATATAGTAATAGTAATATACTACGGCGTATAGAATAAAACGAAATCGTTTTTATACCACATAATTATTGTTGCTCTTACGATTTCGCATGGCGGCCGCACGACGGTTCTGTAGAACGCATTAATTACGTTTACGTGATAATATAATATCGTCGATGTCGTCTCGCCACGGCAGCCGCGAATCCGGTCGCAATTTTTTTTTTCATTCCTCCGAAGCCCTACCGCACTACGCCTAATAAATAATAATCGATTTATCGTAAACGGGTGGCTGTCTGTACCTATATGAATGCTGTGTATGTGCGCACGCCGCGCTTATGCACAAGTAGCATAAAGGACAGGGAAAAAGTTGTCCTATTACCACCACCAACACTGTACTACTCTGCAGTGGCATGAAAAGGTGTTAGAAAATTATAGCCCGCAGTCTGTGCGTGTATAATAATTACGAGTGTATACAAATGTGCCGCAAGTGTGCGCGTGTGCGAGAAAAAAAAACTCATACGTTAATAAGAGACCCCGTCACGGCCGAAGTAAAGGGGTGATGGGTGGCAGGGTACGGTGGACGGGAGTAGGGGGAACTATACACGTACGAATATGATGTAATAAAATATATTATTATATTATTATTATTATTATTACTATGAGTACGGGCAGCCGATTGCGTGTGTGCCCCCGCCGACCATTCGATACTCGATACGCCAATAAAGAATTAAAACGAAACGAAATAAATATCGATGTTAACCCGAACAACGGCGGAATGATTTATACCCAACAGTAGTAGTTGAGCGCACACACAGACGGCGGCAAACTACTTTGTCATTAGCTGCTAATGAATTTACTTTATTGCGTCCGGGCCGCGCACGATACGTACATATATATATATATATATAAATATGTGTAACTATTTATTGCCCAATTATAGAGTCGAAGGAATCTTTTTTTTTTATTCCACTCCTATTCTTGGCTCTTGAGAATATCATCTTCTCAGTAATAATAATAGTAATAAAACGAGATCCGATATCACCATGCTCGCTCGCGACTCATTTTATAATGAACAAGTCGGTAGCGGCGTCCAATAAACGCAAACGTCATTTGGGTGGGGGGAGTATGTTGTTATAGCTGCAAAAGTATACAATAATATGCACAAGAAGTAGATAAGGTAGTATTTATAGATAATAGAATTCAAAATGATTCATAAAGTGTTAGAACATTTTATAATTATAATTAATCTCACAAATTAACTTTTTAATCATTTTTCAATATCATTTATACTACAGTTTCAAATATAGGCGAAAATATAATATCACAATGTGTACCTATAGTAAATAATTTTAGTTATAAAATCCATGATAAATAATTCGTGTCAAACGTACAACACGTATTACAAATAACATTAAATTATGAAACGATGTCCTCCGAGGGTTTTTTTCCAATGCCAATTTGTTGAGTACAGTTGATCTGTTCTAACGAGCGATTAATTTCTAAACATTACACTTGCGCGTAATGTTAAGGAAATGGTTCAACTTCTAAGGTGAGGAAATAGATGATATTGTTTCACAGTTATAATATTAACAATGAACTAACAAGACAATAAAAAAACAAAAAACAGTCAAATTGTTTCGAAATTCAGCGATAAAATAAAATCGAAATTAACCTCCAAAACAAGTTTTGCGATTTACACACATAACACAACTGATATGACGAGGACTTAGAACAAGCAGAAATCAAAATTGCGAAAACGGTCAAAAATGCGTTGTTTTTAACTGTTTTACTCATAATATAAATTTTAAAAATACACCTGTCTAAGACCATTAAAATTAGTTGAACAAATTAAAAAAGACAGATATTTATACTACATTTTATGATAGATCAAAGTAAAAATGTACTAGTAAAATATTTAGCAGGCTATTTGAACAGACCTATTTGTCAATCACTGATCATAATATTCTAACGTATACAATACATTGAAGATCATTAATAAAAAATAGAACGATCAAATTATTCATGTATTAGAAATGTGTATACTATGTATACTTTTTTACGTATAAATAACAAAATTTATTACGTTTATGCATCTGTAAATATTTCATCCAGTACACGAACACGAAATTTATAAGTTTTTGTCTATTTATTTGTTTCCAGATTTCAATTGACACTAAGTACAAACTACTTATATACTAATAAATCATCGTATAAATATTAAGCAATTCATAAACTTATTCTTAACTTCAAATTACTAATTTTTATGCACCAAGTAGGTACTAATAAAAATTATATTATATTAATATCAACCTACTACACTATCAAAAAATTATAATAACATAGACAGTCTATAAGATATGATGAAACAAAATATCTTGTAATAATTTACTATGGTGCCTATATTTGAAACTCACCGGCTCAAACCATATGCATTTTTTATTGATAGTAATAAAATTTAATTATTGTTCGTTACAGGTACTAATTTAGACTGAACTAATCATATAGTTAAGTGAATAAAATTGAGACGAAAACCAGCACATCAATTACCTGGTTATATATTTATAATTAAAACCTCGTCGGCGCCAAATTTAAATGTTAATCATCGTATTATGACTTAAATTACAATCGGCCAGATAACAATTTACGTGTTTATCACATATTTTCATCGGTACTAACCAGTCACTATTCTAAGTGCGCAATACGATAATTTAAATGTGTAGTACCTGCCTACGAATTTAAATATTTTGTATTATATTGAATATTATTTTTAATAGTGTTCAAATTTTTTTTTTTTTTTTTAATATTATTCAGTACAAAATTGCATAATGAACATTTGCATGAGTATACGAGTTGTGAGAATGTAAAACATTGCAGGTTAAATTGCTCATAAACCGCAGAAAAATTAAAATATCATTAAATACATGATACTCTCTCCCCCCTAGCCGTATTTCTAAAAAATAATTTATTTTTTAAAAAAATTACAAAAAAAACATGAACCATCGACTATTATAGAACTCTTACAAGGGTGTAGTTAGGGATATATACCTACCTATGATATATATACTAATATAATATCAATTATAAATAAACTATAATAATATTAAATATAAGTATTTTAATATGATATTATTATGAATATTATAACTTAGCCACCCCCAGTCAAATCACTAATCACCCCTGATTATATGTAATGTTCTGAACTTTAAAACTAGTAATAGGTCAATTCATTCATACTAAAGTCAACAACATATAGGTTAAAAGACTGAATGCAAATTTACTCTATGTTGTACGTTTGTAACCTACATATAATCAACACATTTATTTGTTAAAGATATCATTTAAACGTAAAATGGTTTATCAGTTATATTGATTGGTTTATAACAAAAAAAATGTAAGGTAATCCGGAGAAAATTGCTCATCCGATCTGGATTTAGTTCTCATTGAACCTGATAGGTAAATCGATGTTTTAAGGGAAAACATCCCACAATAGCAACTAAACTTGCATATTTTATTAAAAGACATTAAGACGTAAATATAAACCGCGAGCATTCTATTAAGAGACACCTAGTCAATTTTTGTATTACACTTAATCCGTAGCATACCAAAATACACATAAAATTTAAGTAAAATTTAACTATTTTTTATCGATTAAAAGTTACATAAGTAAATGCATACTGCGTGCAATAAATTATAAGTAAATGGATAATATATATGAAGCTTATAATCCGACAAGTATAAAATCCGACAAGACTATTGAGCAGCTGAATATATTTGTTTACTCCCTAGTTATTATGAAGGTATTTTATTTATAATTACACGAATTTAGTCTTATTTATATACTACACACGCGGATCAAAGCTCCAAACTTCGTAATTAGGTTCAATTTACGTTCATTTAACGTGCTCATTTTTAATAAAGTAATAGAAAGGTATATATACGTTTTTGTCAAATACAAAACGCACGTCTCGTGTTGGATCACATAAAAAATTTAAGACTACCTAACATTTTCGCTGATCATCTTTCGACTGTGCTTATTATTTTTTTCCTTCTTCAATACTACGGCCCCAAGGCCGGCCGTGGCGACTGTCGCTCGTGGCCACGAGTAAAAACGACGCCCATCGCGCTCGCCTATTGGCCCGACCCATATACGCGCGACGGCGCCAGACGACGCTTTCTCCCCCCGCCGTCGCCGCCGCCCCTTTTTCCAATGTTTTGAATTTTAAGAGAGGGACTGGCGACCGCCGACAGCGACCACTTCCATAATTGTCATTAATATTACACAACTTTAAAATCAATATAAAATAATAAAATTCAACCACAAATCTCTACTATGCCTATATGGTGAAGAATAATACAAATTCTGATTGAAAATATATTTGTGATATTAAATTACACTAACAGAACTTTAAATTTTAACTAAAGTAAAAACTATTTATGTGGTGTTGTTGAATTAAGATTTATATAAACGTAGGTAATTTTATTAAAAATAGGAAAATATCTATAACAACATATTTTGTAATTAAGTTATGCCATTGCTTCTACACTTTAGATCCAAAGTCAAGAATGACCACACAAAGAAATAATTTGAATTTAAAATGAACATACAGCCAATTAGGTTAGACCTTTACTATCTATCTGACAACAGTTGATTGCAAATTTTAACAATATTGATGATTAACCCAAAATCGTATGATTATTAAGACAGCGAAAAAAATATCTTTTCATTAATCGTATATACTCACAGACCAAGACTGTAAATTGCAGTCCACTATCTTAAATAGATTATCAAGCGACCCAAATCTACTTCATTAAGTCAGCTCGATAAACATTTGTACATATAGTATATAATTATAACACAACGAGACATTAAATCTGGACGAAGGACAGATTATTATAGTTAAATAATAACAATAACTGTAATAAATGACAACGAGCCTTATAAGCTATGATCTATTCGCACGTAGTAGGGGAAGCATTCGTTTTCCCTCAGCGTACGCGGCCAGTTTCGCAAATTGCGAAAGGCCACCTGTTTCACGAGAAACTTGCACTGCAAGATGGGTGGTGAACGGTGGTGGTAGGACGAGATAATAATATATAACACGATTACTACCATTGTTATTCGTTATTATGATTCAACGTCCATCGCCACAAAAGGTGTGATGATAACTTTCCGTCAAATATACCTACTACACAGCTTAACGCACGTAGTGTTATAATTAATCGGTCACGCTTGGAGAAGAACGGAGAGGTGAGGTATACCTAGAACCCGTCGATTTCGTGCTTGGAGCGAGTAAATACCGCGCGGCGATTAATTACTCCGTCCGTCGTCACCGACGCCGGTTTTACATATCATCATATTGTACAACAACGTAACGGAGCGAGATTTTTCCTCGGTTTTCTTCAAAACGCTGCATTTAATTATTGCTCGTTGTTATACAGCGTATAATATAACATTCTCAATATTCACCTAGCAGATACGCTAGATCTTATTAATATAGGTAAAGAAAAACACATAATACTATAATACGAATAATTTATTGAAAAATAATTATATAATAATAATAGATCAATTTTATGTACAAATATATATGATCTAAATTTACAAAACTTAACGTACAAATATATCATGTATATGTGTATACATTGTCTACAACATATATACATAGTATAATTATAACACTAAACGACGTCATAACGCTAAAGGTAACAAAAAGACAATAGAAAAAAAATTGAAATACCCGTTTTTTCGTCGGGTACAACACACGTGGGGAAAATCATCGGTATGCAATGCGTACTATCCAAAAAGTTTATGAAAAATGGGACAAATCAAAGTACAATACAACCACACATGCGTACAGACACGAGAACAATTTACTACGTGGGTACGTCATCGTGAAGTTGCACATAACAAATGGTGAAAAAATAAAAAGGTGTTGGATCTCATAGTCTCGTATGTATATTATGTGTGTGTCGAGAATATAATGTAATAAAATATTTTATCCTAAGCCAATATTTGAACGCATCTACGTGTACGTCGGTGATTATGTTTAGACTCGACGGGAGGTCGGATGAGTTGATTTTCTTTATTCGTCCGGGACAGATTGGCCGTCAATATAAATCATCGACTCTAAAAACAGAATTATTACGCGGAGATGATATCGCGAGTACCTTACTACTTTCCGTGCAATGTTTGTAAAAACGATCTATAATCAAGATGATCGCGAAATCGATCGAAAAACCTAATCGTACAAACCCGTTTATCATTATTTATTTATTTTTTTTTTTTCTTAAATCGCACGTAAAAACAATGATAAATCGAAAAGCAAAATTTAGGTTCTTTTTTAAATTACGATTGTACGACGATATGCATAGAGATCGTTAGAATATGGTTCTGGGACATGTATAAAGTGTAAAATATTATGTACAAGAAAACCAAGGAAAGGATCTGAAGGAAAAAATAGGTATATTATGCATTTATTTATATATATATATATAGAGAGAGAGAGAAAGAGAGAATAAATAATAACCAGTTTCACCAGTCGGATTTAAAAACGTTAGATCGGTTTATTATTATTATTATTATTATTATTATTATTATTCATCGAATGGGATAGACGTACACGTTTCGTTTAAAACAAATAGAATAATTTACTTTGGAGCGTACACGCACACACAATGTCATTACAGCGCGCGTAACCGATTTACTGGCAAGAGTATGGACGGGCTGTGGGGAGGGGTGGAGTTGTCGAAATCGACGGCCGCCGCCACGTAGTACGAGGGAACAGTATATCACAGTTGAAAATATATATTTGAGAGAAAATCGAAGGGAAAAAATTTGTACACGTACAAAACTTACGGTCGACGTACGTCAGCCGTGTCGAGAGTAAGCGACGCATGCGCACTGTACAAACGGTAGGTGTGTTCAGCAGCTACTCGTAAGCAGGGTACGTCAAAACATAAAATATATCACATTTTTCGATGGAAAAAAAAAATTCGACGCGTCCTTCGCGCAAAATCCCACGAGAGAAGTACAAAAAAAAATTTACACACACTGAACACGTATAAATATGTATGTCGTAAATATATATATATGGCACCTTGACGACACCCTAACGAGGTCTAGCTGAACTCGGTGCACGCGAAATTGTCTTCGAACATGTACGGGTCGCCGTTGAAGTCGATCGGCGGCAGTGGGTGGTCGGCGAACGGCATGAACGCCGCGGCCACGTCCACCGGGAAGTCGGCGGACAGCAACGGCGACGGGAAACCTACAACGTCGGTGGCCGACGTGGAGCACGACGACGGTGACAACGAGTACGCGGCGGCCGCACTCGGCAAGTCCCGCAGGAACGCGGACGAATGATGGTGGTGATGGTGATCGGCGAGAAACCCGACGGTGGACGCGGCGGAAGAGCACTCGCTACCGCCGCCGCCGCCACCGCCGCCGCCGCACAGCAAGTCAGACGCGTACTCGCTGAGCAGCGAGTCCACGTCGTCGGAAGTGGAAGGCGACAGACAGCAGCCGAGCGCGGCCAGGTGGTCGGTGGTGGTCGGCAGCGACACCGAGGGCGACGACATTGCCGTCGTCCCGACCATTCCACCGCCGCCGCCGCAGATGGTGTTCGTAGCCGCGGCTATAGCCGCGGCCGCGGATGGCGACGACGAAGACTGGGCGCCGGGCGCCGCGGTCAGAAGTCCGCTAAGCGCCGAGATGTACTTCATGGCCAGCCGGAGGGTGGTGATCTTGGTCAGCTTTTCGTTGTGCGCGTCCACCGCCAGGTGTGGCACGGCCCGGCGGAGCGCCTCGAACGCTTCGTTGATCTCCCGCATTCGGCTCCTCTCGCGCGCGTTCGCCGTCTTCCTTCGATACCTGCCAACAACTCGTGAATTAATATAATGATGACACGCGTACCTATACCGCCGCACAGCGGATGGTGCACTTAAACTTCAATTACGATAGTGTAACGTGACCGGGGAAATGTGGCGTTACTTAAGAGGATAGTAGTTAAGGTATAAAGCGGGTAAAACTGGTATGTGCTCCGGTTACATCAGATCGCGAAAATTCACCGGTTAGGAAGTAATAACCAGCTTCCTTAGATGCATGATTGTAGTAGTATATTATATAGTTTATGAGATTATAAACGGCATTCGCAGCGTTAGTTATGTTACGCATATATATCAAGCGAATGCGATATAATGAATTATTTCGAAAGCGTTCGATTAAAAGGGATCAAATATAATTTACGATTTCGAAATCTAATTTTGTACTTTGTATATATTATCATTCCAAAATAATTTTTTTCAAACGACTCAATATTCCTGATTATGCATTGATTAAATAATGTTATGTTTAAAAAAAAAAAAGTTAAACTATAAGTAATTTTATTAACACATATTAAAATAAATATACTTTTCCTGTGTTTGCGTTTATTTTACATAGGTCTTTGGTATAAATATATTATGTATGTATTTCTTTAATATAAATTGTGCAACTTTTTCAATAGAACAAAATTTGATTAAATTTATTTACACATTTGTTTTCTATAGATATCTAGTTCGTATTTTATTATTAAAAAAAATGTATTTTAGCGTTGGTAAATAACTAACTAAAAAATAAATCTGTACTTATGTATTACATTAATTAATTTTAATTTTTACAATTTCATTTTTTAGATTTTTAGTGTAATTCACATATTAATTATTCGTTGGCAGTTGAATATAGGTAAAATAATTTCTGAAATCATATTATTATTTTTAACACTTCGCTATTAAAACAGATATGGGTACACCACGTTTTTACGATTTTCGACGGTTTTAAATATTTTAAACGTCTAATCAGGCAATGAAAATTATTTTTATTTATATAATGCATTTTTAAAAAGAAATATTAACATAATTTATATGAGTCAGATTATCCTAATAATTACCATCGTCATAAATATATACATGTTCTTATTTTCTAATGTTATTCATGATGACTAGTAATATAAAACGACCATATTAATGTAGTACATACCATCGGTGGTATAGAATTTTTCAAAGAAATCGAAAGCCAACATATTATTTTAAATAATAGTACACGAGTGACAAAGCATGTTCGAATATTTATTTTCGACAGGGCGTCGAAGTGGTGTTTTGTGTGTTTTGGGTTTTATATACGACTAGGAATTTTTTACCGCGTTAACATTCGATTGTGAAGAAAAAACAAATTAAACATATATCGCTGCATCTTTAATATGCGCCCACCCTGAATTCATTCAAACCAATATCCATAAATAACATTCCAAGGGCGTAACCCTAGCAAACCCAAAATCATAAGATCATATTACCTAATCTTGATAAATTATTAAATTCAATTAACACAAGACTTGAATTAAATAATTGTTAAAAATCAAGTCTATTGAAAAAATTTATAATAATTGTTAATATTATTGTCATCGAAAAATAGGCAGGTATTATAAAAACGGAAGGAAACGACCTATTATTATTAAGACGGCTTAAATAAATAACGCTGTAACTACATAATAATAATGTTAAATCGATTTACTAACGATAAAAATCTTTCGGGAATCCTAATTTAAGCATTATTACGGGCACTAGTACCTTGAGTACTCCTACAGTTGTAAATGTATACTCGATCTAATAATTCACCGCCCTCGGGCGCGGTGTGTCTAATGTATTTGACGATTAGATTTTCGATATAGGTCGAAATAAAAAAAGTTATTTGAGAAATTTTTAAACAATACCTATATAATTATCTATAGATACTTTATTAATTAAAATTTTTTTTTTCACAAAATCTTTACTTATTTATAATTTTTTATTTAAATAACTACAAAAACTCAATTGAAATTGATAACTTAATCATTTTATTTGAATTTTTTAACAAATAATTATTTGTAGAAGGATATTGCTTATGTAGAAATTAAAAAAATATTATTAAATATCCGAATATTTATTTTATAATTTATTGAAAATATGCACACACGTCTAGGGTGCTACTAAAAAATGCAAACATAATCATCCTTATTATTTATATTTCAAAATTTTAACGAATTTTACAAAAAAAAAAAAATGTTACCATAAATATTTGTTTTTAAATTTCAGTCATGTCAATAAAAGTTCTTACGATATCAAATTAATTAAAAAATAACCTATTTAAATATTAAAAAAAACTACACTAAAAAAATTGTTTTGCAGTTAATCTAGTGAATTCTTTAAGTAAAATTCTCTAATTCGAACACTCTAAATAAGCTACACGCAATTCAGCAATAAAAAAAAATGTGTATACGATTCCTAAAACAAACTGTGATATTTTTTTAAAGCTATAAGAAACCTTAACCTTCAGTCGTGAAGAAATATGTTACGTTAACCGGAGCCAAAAAAAAAGTAGGTATACTAAAAACGCACACATAGCATAAAAAATTGTCACGAACAATATCTATTTAAAATAATAATATAATACGACTTACCTGCTCAGGGGCTTAGGTTTTTGTCGTCGTTTGGTAGACCGACCCCGAGTTGTAGGTTTCCAACTGTCTTCCTGATCTTCCTCAGGTTCTTCGCGTTTAAGCAACGCTCTGGGTCGCAGAGAATATTTTTCCTGCACTTTTTCCGGTATCGGCAGTGCACTGTTATTGTTTGCGTCGAACTCGGCCATTTTCACGTAAGTGCGCGAATTAATTAAAATAAATTTTTAACAACAATAAAAAAAAAAAACTGTATATATCTTATGCGGAAAACAAATCACTTATTCACTTCAAATGACAATCAAAATTCATCGCTGAACTTGAGCAAAATCGATCGTTTGATCGTAAAAAGTTAACGTCGTCAACACTACCACAGACTCGCGGCAATGAACTCGCGCGTTGACGGCGTACGAGGTCCGACTGGCTGATACAGCACAGTGCCGGTCATTCAAGTCTCTCGTGCGAGGCTTCGGAGACAAGACTGCCGTACAACAGCAGCGACGGACCGATCTCTACCGGCCATTTGAATGATGCGGAGGGCACGCGCTCGACAAGCCCCCCTCCTCACATAAACGGAATATACGCCGTCGCGCGTATAGGCTATTATAATAATAATAACAACAATAATAATACGCGCGCGCTGCCCCCGCGACACCCAAAAAAAAAAAAAATAATAATAATAATAAAAAACCGGACCCATTATTTATGTTTCCCTTTTCTTATGCCTATTCTTCATCTGTTTCTTTCTCTTTGTCTATCTCTGTTCTTACCGACACTACACTTGCACGGCATTATTGGTATCTTCTCTCTCTTATACTTTTTCATTTTATGTATATATATATATATATATATATACCTACATTGATTATTATACATTTATAGATACTAATATTGGAAGACAACTAACTGCAGGATATCGACAGTTTTTGCTGCTTGACTACATCGAACTATTATCGTTTCAATTTATCGGGGGGGAACAAAAATCTCTTTGCAAGTGTATGCATCATTTTATACGAAATGATGGGTGAAAAAATCGATTCGTTAATAATAATCACACCTAGGTTATGGACTTAAAGCATTCACGTATTTTATTGTTATGTCCTTGTCATACGAATAAATAAAAAAAATGTTAACACTTCATAGAAGCAATTAATAAAAATGTGGTTAACTACACAACTATAATGCCCCATTTACTAAAATAAACCAATAAACACTGTATTGCACATTATGTTTTTAATTTTTTTTTTTTTTATAAACATATAAAATAATATTTTAAGATAATTTAATTTATAATAGATTTCATTTTCACTTTTTTGAACAATTTCTTTTTTAATTATTATTGATATAACATTATTATAAGTACAACTTTTAATGTTAATTTACTCATAAACAGATTTAATATTAAAGTTATAAATTAAATATACACTAAAGCACTTGTGTATATTTTTATTAACATAAATATTTATTTTATGGATCATAAATGTATGGAAAAAAAATTATTCTATAAACGTTTTAGAATTGTATTTAATTTTGAAATATTGTGAAAATGTATTTATGGTATCAGGTTATGGAAAATAATATGAAACGTAAAACATGAACTGCTATCTAGTGATCAAATGCTGTATCAACAATTTTGCGCCCAGAATTAAATACCTACGTCCTACGTGCCTAGATTAAAAAATATACTAGTATATTTAATCTATACTATCTATAAATCGATGCACTAAAATCTAGCCATTAGTAACTAGATATAACCATATATTACATTTATAAAAATGTTTCAAAATACATACATTCACTGAATTTTCTATGTGTAAAAATGTTCATAATAATTTTTGAAGTTTTTACAGAATCATAAACTTAACACTTCCACAGTTGTACGTCCTCCGGAAATTAGGGAAACAAGCAACAAACATTAGATATTAAATTAAAATATTATAGGTAGCCTCGTTACAAGTAAATAGTAAATTATAATCTTCTATGACAATCATACATGCACACTTAGACCACGCTATACGCATCGAAAAGTAAACCCATTAAGCATCATAATATATTAGACTATATAGTAGACTATCCTACGCTATTGTACCGTTTCAATCAATGAATGGACAAAATTGAAAACATTGAAAGCAAATAAGACAGAAATGAAGGTCGTAGGTTACTCATTTATAAAACTATAAGCTATACGTAATTTAAAAGTCTATTACTCCGTTTATATATGATTTATAAATAATTATTCAAAAAAAAAAAATAATAATAATAAAATTTACATTCAGAAACGCCCGTTAATAAAAAAAAATATATGTAAATATATATATATAATATAATAACCGTGGGTAGAGTTATATGTTCAGTGGGTATGAAATTTTCTCTTGCTATTTTATTAAATCAATATTCTTCAACTATATAATATACACAATGCATAATAATGTAACCGATATAACTTTTAGCCTTGATGTCAAACAATTATTTATGGAAAAGTATAAAATAAAACAGAATAATATGGTAACGTAAAATAAATTTGAAAATAAATTTTCGCGCATTTTAATGATCGCTTTTTAAACTTTAAACAAACTTTATTATGGAGTTTAGAAATACATATTACTTTGTATGCATTGAAATTTAATCACCTCTTATAAAATTATATTAACGGTGGTAAATACCCAAGTACAAACTTATCTTACATATTCGATATATTCTTTAAATTAAGCATTTTGAAAATAAAATTGTGAATGGTAAGCCATGACTTCCGAGTCCCAACATGTTTCTATCAACCGTCCCACACACTAAAACTTTATTATATTCGTTATTTTGTTTTCAAACTCATGCTCAATAATATACAAAAGAGATAAATTAAAACAAATTTTGATGTAAACATTGATTGTTTTTCGAGTGATGAAAAAACGAAAACTTTCAAAAATCTATTATCATCGTCAGTTTATATCTAGATCACCCGTTAAGTACGACGAGCATAAACATTTGTATTAAATAGGTACTCTAAGAAGTAAGATGTTCGTGATACGCACGAGATCGCATATTGAGAGTAGGTCATTGTGGGCACGGCAGCGCGTCGTCGTTGGTCGTAGGCCGCGTTCATTTCCGGACCGCATAGTATTTATTATATTATTATGAATGAAACGAGCGAGAGGTGTTGCAGCCATTGCGTAATAATAATTTAATCGCACACGCGTTTTATAGGTATATTAACATTATATGCAGCACGCGCCGAAAAGTGACGACGACTAAAGAAACCACCTTCTCCACCTAATCACCAATCGCCCCCACCGAACTTCCGGTAATGACGATTACTATTATATTATAATGTAATATTTAAAACATCGTCGTAGTCGAAGCACGTTCGTGTAACACTATTATCATACACGTAGGTACACCGCAGGTAATAATAATTATTACGGTCAACGACTTCCGGTGAACGCACGGCAACGACGGTGACGGCGGTGCTAAGACACAAGACGCGTATAGAGACTGAGCGAAAATGCAAAATCGTTGTGTGGGACGGAACAGCGCCCAAATAGTCTTATCCGCCCACCAGCGGCGGCAGCAGCGGCACAGATCAGCCTTGGCGCCGCTGCCGTTTACCAGTCAATGAAACGCGTCCCGACGTGTTATTGCACACGCGCGACGGATCTTTCATACGAAGTAACTCATTTTTTATTTTTAGCTCACATCTGCATCCGATGGTTCGAAGAATTTAGAGTTAATCATCAATTGGTCACTACGATAATATAAAATCACTATTTATATACTCAACATAAAACCAGTACAACACCAGCACACCACTAATGTTGTAATATATTAATTAAACATCAAGCCTATTATCACATTATTATCCGAAATTATAGAGTGTTTAATAAATATTACTGATGATTCCAGTAATATTTTAACAATAATCGTAAACTGAAGTATTGTTATGTAGAAATATCTTGAATTTTGCATAATTATTATGGGGAGGGAAAGTTTTATTAACAAACTAACATTCAATAATAAGTACTTTGTTGTACAACCACTGTTGCTAACCACATACGCAAATTATTTAATAAACATATATGTCAAAAATAAATGACAAAAAAATCATAAGTTATTTTAGATTTAAGTTCATAAAAAATACGAAATTATATTAAAAGATTATTTAAAAAAAATACAATTCTAATCAATGAGAAGTAATTCAATTATTTCAATTAAAACTCTATGTTTATAAATTGACTAACTTTTAGATGAGTATATTTAATCACAAATTAATTGATGAATAGACTATCAATGTTTTAGAAAAAAAACACTACTAATTCAATAAATACAGATAAAAAATAGCTTTAAAAACATTAAGTTGATACAATATTACTAAAGCTGTAATGTTTTACATTTTTAAAATTATTATAAAAATATTATGTTCTCTATAAAATTAAATAAACCGAGCTTTGTCATTTCGATAAATTATTATTAAGAAAAACATGCCAGAATTTTGTGTGGGTATTATTAAGATTTTTTAATGTACATTTTTATTTAATTAACTGAGTTTTCTTTGAATACATTGCATATTACATAGGTAGTAAAAGACTGTTGACAAATGTTAATTCCTTAAAGTATCTATGCAAATTTACTAATATATTTTTGTTTGATTCATTATTGTCAATAATTGCTTTTTTGTTATTGATGAGAAGAAGAGTATGAAAAATAACATTTTTCATTAAGTGGGAACATAAATAGAATTATAGAGGTATAAATACATATATTTGTTTTTTATTTAATAATTTACCCTAATTTAATTAATAATAACTATGAGAAATTTATAAATTATGATTTTTAATTTAAAAATTATAAAACGAAATAGAGCGGAATCGTTAATATACGTTTACTTTTTTTTATTCATATACATATATAAATTAAATATACGTTTATATCGATCAGCAGAAGTTGAGCAACAGCAGTTTTACGTCATCCGGTCAACAGTTATCACCGTCGTCGCCTTGTTCCATATAGTAATTTGAATAGGACACTATATTACAGATACTAGTGTACCACCTACTCGTAACTCGTAAGTATCACTGAACTCAAGGTAACCAGGAATAGACATTTATTATGAGTACGTCATAAATCCCCCTTAAAATTTGATCATATAATATATTACAATACAATATTTAATATTACTTCATACAACATTCACTCATTCATGAATTTATGAATGAACTCTCTCTGATGCCCACTATAAAAAAAATATACCCAGAAAAAAGTAGTTTTGTATTATAATAAGACTAGTTTTTTTTATTTATTGTTTCTTAATTCTCATAGAAATATTAATTAATTATTAATAACAAAATATATTTATCTACATTTTTTGATTCAATCTGTATTTTAAGTTATCTAAAATGAATCTTTGCAAGTAAACATAAAAAGTACAAAAATTGGACTAGAATTGAACAATTAATTCTATGCTAAAAATTCATGGAATAGTTTACATTTCAGAACTAATTTTTGAATTCATAAAATAGGTAACTCAATTATATTAATCAAAACAATTGAAATTTGGTTAAGAAAGTTTATGACAAATAAAAAATTAAGATTATTCTTAACGAGTCATTAAGATAAATTACAAAAAAAAAATAATTAAGTTAACATTTTAATTTCTTAATTAGTTTAATGATAAGATTTAGTCTTCACTGACAACCAATAATTCCCTTCCTATATTTCCATAATATTCTTTTAAAACAATCTAAAAACCTATGTAAAAAAAAGCTTAAAACTGTACCTATATCAATCGTTTTAAAAAAAAAATCAAATATCATTTAAAATAATAATGATATTATTATACCTTATAGAGTATAAAAAAAAAGACTTCCATTACAAGATTTTGAAATAAAGCTTATAGATAATTACCAAGAAGAAATATTAATGTATGTATAGTAAACAAGATAAACTATATTCAAATGTGTAAGAATAGTAATAAGAAAATAACTCCGGTAAATTCTAATATTCATTACTATTTACTATTGATAATTAATAGCAATATTGGGATAAAACCACAGACCGAACTGTCATAAACTAGCCCAACGTTGGAAACTAAAGAATAATAATATTAATGTAGGTATTGTACAATATCAAAACAATATTATTGAATAAATATATACATATTTCTAAAATAAGATGATAAAAAAACAGAAAAGTAAATCTAAGTAGGAAAATAATATAATATGGCTTGTCACAGAGAAAAGATGACGTGTCAAAAGTGTGTGTGTACTTTTTTACCTTCTATGCGCGCGTCACGATGAGTCCTCGGTATTCGTTATTATAATAAACTCATAATAATATTACGTGAATAGAAAAATATTTCGACATTTAAATGGGAATGAAAATAAATAAATGTTATTGTAAAGCTACCACCGACGTCTATTGAAACTTGAGACTGCGCTGCACGACGATTTGTTTTGACTCTTTGGTGCGAGCTACACATCAACCGCCACCCCTCCTACCATTATTATTGTGAAAACACCAATGGAAAAGAAAAGCATCGGTCGCAACAAGGCAGTGGCTGACGAAGAAGAATGTCTATCGCGTTTATGTTTGTTTATCGCGCGTGCTCAGGTCTGGGTACTTCTTTTAAAATGCTAATTCTCATATTATCTAAGCAACGAGTAGAAACCGGCATATTACACTACTTAAAGTTTTTATAAAAGCAATGATAAAAACCTTTACAATCAGTAACTAACGAAAAAATAGTATATTTATTAATTTGCATTGTACCACAAAAGATTTTTTTTTTCATAAACGTTATTAAAAATTGTATAAATACCTGAACTTTGTTAACACTATTTACTTAATACCTAATGTATTAATAGCATATATTTTTAATTTTCACCAAAGTATTTTTATATTTTTCTTAAATTTTAAAGCATTATATAAAAATTTAAATTTTCCAAGTTACTCAATAAATCACTGAAAATGTATATTATTCAATAGGTAATTCAAAAATGTCTTGAGTTCCAAAAAAATCAAATGTAAATGTGTAATTGAAATTGATAAATGTTTAATTGTAAAGTACAAAACCATGATATGATAAACTTAAAAATTGATTCCTTTAAAAAATCCTACCAAAATAAAGACGACGAATTTGTAGTGTAGTTAAATTCAAAAACTATTAAAGATTTAACTATGAATAATTTTTAGTCGCTGACATTTCCATTTTAATTTTAATAAATCTAAAGAAGTGATAAATGATCAAATAATTAACTTCAATAATAAACTATACAATAAACTCTAAAGGAATTATAACAATTTATAATTTTAAATAAACCTGAGTTATTATGAGAAAAATAATCATGAGAAAAAAAGAATAAGTTTACAAACTTACTAAGAAATAGATTGTACTCTGGTTTATATTTTAGAAAAGTTTTCCTAAATGATAAATTTATGATAATGGTAATATCTATTAATACTTGGAACTTGAAAGTTTTATTAATGATTTAAATTAATCAATATAGATAAAAACTTAAAGTCTTGAAAAATTGTAGATACAAAAAAATAAAATATGTTTACTACTAGATAAATAAGTAGTTTGCATTTATATTTTTAACATTTATATAATCAATTTTTAATTTTCATTAAATTTTTTTTTTATTTTTATCTAATGTAAATCTTTGAATTTGTATAGTTCTATCTACCAAATACCTATTTATCTATCTAATGTTAACTTCAAGCTTCATAAAATATATAAGTAAAAGAATTTTATTTATAGTAAGTTATTAATAGTTTTTATTAATAATTTATCAAAAATTATTTTGAAACTTAATCACTTAATTTAAAAATACATAATATGAAAAAGCATTAACTATGTGATAACACAAAATATGTATTCGATTAAATTAACACGTCATATTAATCAAGTAAACAGATTCAATAATCAAAACAATAAATAAATAATTTTCAAAACACATACAGGTTACTCTTTGCAAGCACACCTCATCCTCGCTTTCTCATTCTTAAGACTTAAATTCAACAGCAAAACGTTGGCCAATGTTAAAGATACTGTCAGAGCAATTTCATAAAAATCGTTTTGTTTTAGCATAGAACAGAGTAGATATAACACTCAATCAACTAATTAATTCTTGCTTAATTATGATCTAGCATTAGAGCCTCTAAGAAACATTTAACCGAGTCCACGCACAGTACTTTCAAATTACGTTTGTTACTTCATTGATGTTTGGTTCTAACCTTAATACAAACGCATAGTTTAATATGACCAACAAACCAAACAAAAAATAAATACAAAAATTCAGCACTTTAAATTATCAAAATATTCGAAACGTTTATTTCAATAGGTTTAGCTTTAATCAACTCGTGGATTTAAAAAGCAAAAAGATTGGCAAAAAATAAACCAGTTAAAACTACGAGTAAACCCTGGCGAAAACATAAAGAAACGCAAAAAACGATACGATGTTGGAAGACATTTACGGGTGTCAAAATAAAGTCTTAAACTTCCGTAGATGCGGTAAATATAAATAATAATTCAAAAATAAACTAATAAGTACTCACGTAATCTCGTTATAAGCTCGGTAGAAACAACAGCAGCTACGGCGACAAGATCAAAACGGATGAAAAAGCATGAATAGATCGTCAAACGGTGGTAACGCGATCCGCCATATTGGTTCCTCGTTGTACATTTTCATCGGCGGCCGTTCGACACCCGTTGTTCGTTCATGATGTACGTTCCATTGGTCGCCTATCACCAACAGATACGATAAAGTAGGTTACGAGACAATAGAAATGAAAAAATTTTTAAAAAAATAAAATAAATTCATGAAACACTGGTCGGCAGTCGACAAAAATGTGTAACTACCTAGACCGTGAATACGCGTCTGCACAGGTCGAACCTGGCGAAAACACAAAGAAACACGAGAACCTATGCGACGCCTGATCAACATTAATGCGCAGTGTCAACAACTGTCCCAACCCACAATAGCTTTTTGGCCGCTAAACCAAAATGCAGTGATAAACAGCTGTGAAATCGCGCGTAACTGGTCCGACCTGGAAAAGATGCCATTCCGTTTTTTACTTAAGACGTTAATCAAGGAGATACGACGCATACTCCTTGAAACAGGTAAATTCGTGTTATCGAACAAAATATACCATAGAATATCACGAAATCATCGAATTCGGTCGATGAGTGCAAGAGCGCTCTTACAGGAGGGGGGGGGATAAAGAGGATAGATACCCCAAGGTTCTTTATTTTACTAACTCTAATTTACCTAACCTAACCTTGAGGCTTATTATATAACCATTATTTTCATACCCCTCCATTGAAATATCCTGAGAACGCCTCTGAACGTGTGGGTATAATAATGACGTTTCGCAATACCTCATTTAAAAAATCTGTCACAGATATTATCAAACATAAATTACTATATCCAGATGAATATTTAATAATCGTCACGGTGAAGATGACGCTAAAAAAACATAAATTTAAAAATAATGCGACACGAAATGGTCAAGAAATCGTATGAAACTCGGCACGTCAATAAATGCATAATAGACTGCATATATCGAAATGTTTGTAAAAACTTAAAGCATGAAAAAAATTCACGAAATTGCAAAATATTATAGTGGACTCGCAAAATGCATAGTTTTTGAATGTTTCATGAGAACGTCATCGTTGTTAACACAGAGGTGTTTCGATACATCGTAGAATGTCCAGGAACAACAAACGCTTATTATAAAACGCTAATATACATTAAAACGGGGAGAAAAAAATTATGTGTACACCAAAGAAACGAATGCAGAAGGGAAACGATGTTGATCGCCATTTGCGGATGTCAAAATAATGTCGTAAAATTCGGTAGACGCTACAAATATAAATAATACTTCAAAAATAAACTGTTGAATACTCACGTAATCTCGTTATAAACTCGGCAGAAACAACAGCAGCTACGGCAACAAGATCAAAACGGATGAAAAAGCATGAATAGATCGTCAAACGGTGGTAACGCGATCCGCCATATTGGTTCCTCGTTGTACATTTTCATCGGCGACCGTTCGACACCCGTTAATCATTCATGTTGGACGTTCCATTGGTCGCCTATCACCAACAGATACGATAAAGCGGGTTACGAAACGATAAGAAAGAAAAAATTTGAAAAAAAGAAATTCATAAAACACTGGTCGGCGGTCGACAAAAATGTGTAACTACCTACACCGTGAATACACGTCTGCACAGGTCGAACCTGACGAAAACACAAAGAAACCCGAGAACCTATGCGACGCCCGATCAACATTAATGCGCAGTGTCGACAACTGTCCCAACCCACAATTGCCTTTTGGCCGCTAAACCAAAATGCAGTGATAAACAGCTGTGAAATCGCGCGAAACTGGTCCGACCTGGAAAATACGCCATTCCGTTTTTTCCGTGATGACGTTAATCAAGGAGATACGACGTATACTCCTTGAAACAGGTAAACTCGTGTTATCGAACAAAAGATACCATGGAATATCACGAAATCATCGAAATCGGTCGACGTGTGGGTGTAATAATGGTGTTTCGCAATACCCTATTTAAAACAACTGTCACAGATATAATCAAACATAAATTACGAAATCTAGATGAATATTAAAAATCGTCAAGGTGACGTTGACGCTTAAAAAACACAAAATTTAAAATATAATGCGACACGAAATGGTCAAGAAATCCTATGAAACTCAGCACATTGGTAATTGCATAATAGACGGCTCACATCGAAATGTTTTTTAAAAATTTAGTGTACGAGAAAAATTCACAAAATTGCAAAATATTATGGTGAACTCGCGACATGCATGGTTTTTGAAAGTGTCATGAGAACGTTCATTGTTGTTAAAAGGGAGGTGTATCGATACACGCTAGGTCGTAGAATGTTGTAGAACGGCAAACGGATATTTTAAAACGCTAACATACGTCAAAAACGGAAAGCGATAATGATGTATACACGAATGAGACGAATGCAGAAGCGAAACGATGTTGGTCGCCATTTGCGGGTGTCAAAATAAGGTGATAAAATTCGGTAGACCCGGTAAATATAAATAATATTTAAAAATAAATAGTTGAATACTCACCTAATCTCGTTATAAGCTCGGTGGAAACAACAGCAGCTACGGCAACAAGATCAAAACGGATGAAAAAGCATGAATAGATCGTCAAACGGTGGTAACGCGATCCGCCATATTGGTTCCTCGTTGTACATTTTCATCGGCG